GGTTGGGGGGGCGGGGGTCGCCGGCCCAGGGATCGCTGGGGCCGAGGGTGGGCTCGGCCCGGCCCGTGCGAGGTCCCAGGACCCGGTGGCCCCGGGACTCGGCCTGTTAGAGACTTAGATTTCTTGCGGGTAACGTGAGAGCGGCGAGGAAAGCTGGGGTCGCGTGACCCAGGCGCCCCGCGCGCCCTCTGGGGCCCTTCGGCTGCCGGCTCTGCCTCCGGGTTCCGGAGAAGCCGCCCGGGCCCCGCCCCTTCCCGTTCCCCGCCCCCCGGCCCAGCCGCGCCAATGGCCCCTGCGTGTGAGTGCGGCGGCTGGGGGTCTCCGAGATGAGTGAGAGAATGAATGGCTGGCCCACGGCCTATTTAACGCCCGGCACGCTCCGGCCTTCTGCTCACACTCCCGGGCTCTGAGATTCATTCATTCACACAGGCGTCCACGAGGGGTTATTGAGCTCCCACTGTGTGCCGGCCTGGAGCGGGAGCAGTCTCCTGGGAGAGACTGACAAGGAAACCTTCGATCAGAGCGGAATGCGATAAGGAGGGGGCTGTGTGTTGCGGGGAGTCAGGAAGGGGTTCTGGAGGAAGTGATACCTGAGCCGAATCTTCAAGGATGACTAAGAGTCAGTCAGGTGGGGAGGGGTTTGGGTGCGAGGGCCAGGGAAGCTGCAGGTGCAAAGGCTTGAAGCTTAGAGCCATGCGGCTGGTGGCAAAGGCGGAAGCAGGTCCTCCTGGCTGTGTGTGGTGGTGAGGGAGACATGGGGAGAGAAGGGACTGGAGACGGCTGCCCCTGTAGCCACATAGGAGCACAGGAGCAGTGGGGTAAACTGAGGACACAGGGGGCTTCTGGAGTCCACATACAGGGGCCTGGCAAGAAGCAGTGGGTGTGCTTGGCATATGGACAGGTGCCCTATAAACTTTCACTCTATTAACATGAGATGTTAATTGATCGGGTTTGCATTTGTAAATACCACAGCCGGCTGTGGGAAAATGGATTGGAGGGAGGAAGGCAGAGAGGCCAGTTTGGAGGCTGCTTGCTTGGTTCAGGGGCAGAGCAGTGATGCAGGAGCCAAGGGGAGGTTTTAGCAGGTAGTGACTCCTTGGTGTGAGGAGTGGAGCGAGGAGGGCGGGCCTTTCCCCCCCCCCCCCCCCCCCCGTAGAACCGAGGGTACAAATTTCTCTACAGTCCCTTCGGCATTTATAGTTTGCAGCATTCTTGGTAATGGCCAGTCTGACTGCTGTGACCTGAT